TTTTTCTTTCTTTTTTTCATTTTTTTTTGAAGGTAGTCATATATTTGAACTCTTCTCAAGATTAATGAAAGAAATTATCTCGAATTCCATGTAATTTTTTTTTTTTAATGATGGAGTGTGTAACTCTACAGACAACGGAAAAGAGTATTGTCAAGAATTAAATACATATAGTGCAGGTCCAACAAATTTAAGCTGATCAATTATTATTATTATTTTTTAATACAAATACTTCATAGGATCCAAAATTCGTTAGTCACATATTATCTAATATTTTATAATAAACACAGTTTATAATTTAAGCTTCGCCAATCGACATAAATACATAAACGAGGATTCACACCTGGCAATGTTGTTTCCTACCACATAGTACGATTACGACCCTTTTTTTTTTTCCTCGAAGCTGATGGTGACTTTTTTTATTTGTATGTGGAGAGAAAATCATTACATCTCTAAATTTAAACATCGAATAATTTTATTATCCTTTTTTTTTTGTCATTAACTTGTAAAATTCATTCATAACTCATTAAGTTGGATATCATATAGTTTTTATATTCCATCATGGCAAGCACATTTGATCTTTACCATAATAACAAATTGATCAAATCTTTGCAGAATTTTGCAACACCATAAACCTAACAAGGTCCCTTAACTTATATCGATTTAAATTTCTTGTCAATGTCCCACGAGAACTAGAGAAAGTTAACAAAACTCGAGAATTTCTACTTCATTTACTTCAATCAATGTGTCACTTCTTTAAGTCATGCTTCCTAATGAACAAATTTTAGAGTTCAAGGAAAAGTAATTGGATCTAAGGGTCTGTTTGATTCTCATTATTGTAGAATGAAAATGGAAAATATAGTGGTTATTGAGTCCCACACAAGAGATAGATATTCAAAATTGATGACTTTATAATTTATATGATGGATAACAGTCATATTTTTCATTTTTATGGATGAAAAATGAGAAACAAACGGAGGCTTAATCCTAATATCATTTTTACAAACTCCAACTTTCATTTCAAAATCTACTATGTGAAGTAACGAATTCCATTATAAGT